TTAAACATCCAACTTCGGTTCAGGTCATGATCTTATGGTTTGTGGGTTCAAGCCCTGCATTGGGGGGTGTACTAACAGCTCAGAGCCTGGAGCCTCCTTGGGATTCTGTGTCCCCCTCTCTCTCTGCCCTTCCCTGCTCATGCTCTTTCTCAAAAACTGAATAAACATTTTAAAAAAATGAAAAAGAAAGAAAAAAGGACAATATACTATAAGCATTTACATATAAAATAACCTGACGCCATCCTAGATGAAAAAAATTCATTTTGTCTGTTGTTCTGAATATAGAGAAGAACTTTGGTCAGTCCTCAGCCAAGTGTTTCCTATTAGCATCAAACTAGTACTTTCTTCCCCCGGAGACAGTGTCTCCAACTCTCTGTTCTTTCCTGAACTTGCTTAGCATTGCTAATCCTGGGCCTCCCTAATTTCACATCATTGGCTGGAATCTGCTTCAGGGGTAGCCAATCCTATTTTGCATGCACATGCAGCCAGCCCCCGCTCCCATCTCTGCACCTCTCGGCCCCGTTTCCAGTCATCCTCCTCTTTTGGGAGTAGTGTTCTTTCCCACCTGGCATGGTGCCGGTCTTAGCTCCTCCACAGCTCCTTTTCCTGTCTTCTAATCCTAGTCTTTGGCTATTTGACACGGACAGAAAAAAGTGAACAGTATTACTGGCTGAGCCAGTGGAGTAACAGACCAAACCAAACCATGGTTAATGTCAACCCCAAAAAGGTTTAGAGATGTGTGCTGTGATACCTGCTTTCTCTCCAGCTCCCAGCATAATGTCTGGTACAAGTCTGTGCTTGACATAAGGGAGGGAGGGAGAGAAATTTTACAGGGACATAACCCAATTAGGATAGACCAGTTTGAACTTTTTCATTCTCAATGACGGTATTTAATGGACGTTTACTGGTTTGACTCAGGCCAGTAAGCATTTTATTGAGCACCTGCTGTTTATGCAACATACTACAGGCCTAACAATCAAAAGTGACTAACAGATGTGGTGATATCAGTGCATATGTTTTATCAGCTTCAGCCAGAGGCTTTCTAAAATGACTGATGGATACGGAAATATAATACATGAATTTTCCCACTATTAGGCTGCACAAGAAACTCTGGGAGCTGGGACTGAGAGCTACAGACTCACTCACCTGTACCCCAGCCCCCAACAGAAGAGGGGTGCTGTGGGAGGCGGCAGCTTGGGCTCCAGTTTGGCCATGCCACTAGCTCCTTGAATGGTGCTGACCAAGCCGCTTAGCCTCTCTCTGCTTCTGCTTTGTTATTTGTAACAATGGGAATGGACACGATTTTCTTGAAGGAGTCCTTCTTATCAGAAATTCTGTTTGTGCACCACCCAAAAATACTTTTAATCAAAATATTTTATTCAATGGCTCTAAAGGTCAAAAGTGCTTAAAAGGATTAGACAAGGCAAATTATTTTGGATATAAAATAAGTAGTGCAAAAAGCATTCAAGAAACCCATTTTAAAAATTAGCCAATGAGGGGTGCCTGGCTGGCTCAGTTGGAAGAGCACATGGTTCTTGATCTTGGGGTTGTGAGTTCGAGCCCCACGTTAGGTGTAGACATTACTTAAAAATAAAATCTTAAAAAAATTTAGCCAATGATGTAAGAAGTACTGTATCCATAGCGGGGAGTCTATGTGAGGCCAGTGAAAGTAGATCCTCACAATTCCTACATTATATTTAAAAAAATTTTTTTTAACGTTTATTTATTATTGAAAGACAAACACAGAGCATGAGCAGGGGAGGGGCAGAGAGAGGGGGAGACACAGAATTCAAAGCAGGCTCTAGGCTCTGAGCTGTCAGCACAGAGCCCAATGCGAGGCTTGAACTCACAAACCGCGAGATCATGACCTGAGCGGGAGTCAGTCGCTTAATCGATTGAGACACCCAGGAGCCCCAGGAACTCACTGGATAGTTTTAACAGCAGATTGAACACAGCAGAAGATAGGACAGGTTAACTCAAAAACAGGTAGGTTAGTAGAACAATTCTAAAACAAAGCATAGAGATAAAAAGAAACGCAAAAAAAAAAAAAAAAAAAAAAAAAAAAAAAAAAAAAAAAGAAAGAAACAACAGCCTAAGTGTAAGATACATCAGCCAAACTACTAAAAACCAAAGGAAGAAAGAAAAATAAGGTAGATCGTTATTATTCCTCTACTCAAAAGTGCCCAATGGTTTCCCACTTTGCTCAGAGAAAGAGCCAAAGTCCTTAAATTATGAAAGGGTGCTATGCAATCTACATAATCCCCAAACCATAACCTCTCTGACCTCATCTCCTGTCACACTTCCCCTTAGGTATTCTGCCCTGATCACACTGGCCTCCTTGCTGTTCCTCATCAGGCATGTTTGCATCTCAGTACATTTGCTATGAGTCCTGCCTTCCTAGACCATCTTATTCAAAACTGCTTTGCATCTTTCTAGTACTTTCTATTCCTTCTTCCCTACTTAATTTTTCTCCATAGCACCTATCATATATGAATTTGTTATCTGTTTGATACTAGATATAAATGTGGGATTGTTATCTGTCTTATTGACTGCTATACTTCCAGTGCTTAAAACAGTGCCTGGCACATGGAGGCACTCAAATATTTGTGGAATAAATGCATATTAAGTAAGGTTTGCTATACTACCTGACATGTCTTTGAAACTAAAGGCATAAAGTTAACTAACTCATTATCATGAAGGTCAAGATTTTTATTTATTTTCCAGTGATGATTAGTCTTTTTAAAAAAATTGTTTTAATGTTTTTTTTTAATGTTTTTTAAAATTTATTTTTGAAACAGAGAGAGACAGAGCATGAGCAGGAGAGGGGCAGAGAGAAAGGGAGACACAGAATCCAAAGCAGGCTCCAGGCTCTGAACTGTCAGCACAGAGCCTGATGTAGGGTTCGAACCCAAGGACTGTGAGATCATGATCTGAGCTGAAGTCGGACGCTTAACTGACTGAGCCACTCAGGCGCCCCTGATTAGTCTTTTTTAGTTTATCCCAAAGTTATTCTAGATGTCTAAATTAGTCCTAACACCAATCAACTTAACTTACTATTAAGGAATCACTGAGATACTATTAGGGAGTTTACTAGGCTATAATAATCAGACCATCTTACAAATTATGAAATGCATTTAGAAACAAATAAAAGATTAGAAAACAGAAAAGTATTTTGAAAAAAAAAAGAAAACATAAAAGTATTTTGTACTTACTCATCTGACATAATTTTTTTGCCAAATGGTAGTCTTGGCCCATTTCTGCTCTCAGGAACTGGAAAACATTAAGAAACTCTTCAGATAAGTACTTTCAGAGAGAATTTAAATGTCAATAATAAACCCCCTAAAAATATTACATTAATTATTAAATATTTTTCTTTTAATATTTCTACATTTTTGCAGAAGTAAGTCTATAATCAATTAATGAAGAATATTTAAGGACTTCCCATGGCAAGGCAACAGAGAACAAGTATGATACCTCTATGTTACTGCAGCCATACTATATGTATATTACTTAACAATTTCAGAATACATAGGTTGGTTCAACCGGCAAAGTTAGTAAAGACATTCATCACTTTAATATCCCTTTGGTTCAGATACAGCTTTTTTTTTTTTTTTGTAAACTTAGTCCATAATTACATGACTAAGATTGTAATTCATTTCATTTTACTATTTAAAAAAATTTTTTTTAATGTTTATTCATTTTTGAGAGACAGTAAGACCAAGCATGAGCAGGGGAGGGGCAGAGAGAGAAGGAGACACAGAATCTGAAGCAGGTTCCAGGCTCCAAGCTGTCAGTACAGAGCCCGACGTGGGGCTCGAATTCATGAACTATGAGATCATGACCTGAGCTGAAGTAGGATGCTTAAATGACTGAGTCACCCAGGCGTCCCTTGTTTCACTTTTATTATATTTTTATTGTTACAAAGTAGTACATATTTTTGTATGTAGGGAATTTAAAAGCTAAATAAACACATTCTGTCCCCAACTAAAAAGCATTTATATTTCTACCATACAGAGATATATATTTTTAGCATCTTCATCATATCATTTTAGTACTTTTCCATAAGTCAAACACATATTCACAAAAACTAGAATTATTCAGTAACTTTTTTTGCTTATTTTAGAGAGAGAGAGAGCATGTATGTGAGTAGGAGAGAGGGGTGGGGGGAAGAGCAAAAGAGTGAAAGAGCGAGAGAGAGAGCGAGAGAGAGCGAGAGAGAGCGAGAGAGAGAGAGAGAGAGAGAGAGAGAGAATCTTAAGCAGGCTCCATGCTCAGCGCAGAGCCCCATGCAAGGCTGGATCCATGACCCTGGGAAAATGACCTGAGCCGAAATCATGAGTCAGATGCTCAACCAACTGAGCCACGCAGGTGCCCCTATTCAGTAATTTTTTTATTAAAAAAATTTTTGTTTTAAGTTTGAGAGAGAAAGTACAAGTCAGAGAGAGACAGAGAGAGAGGGCAGGGAGAGAATCCCAAGCAGGCTCCACACGGTCAGTGCAGAGCCTGATGTGGGGCTTGATTCCACAAACCATGAGATCATGACCTGAGCCAAGGTCAGTTGGTTAACCAACTGAGCCACCCAGGCGCCCCTCAGTAACTTATTAAAAATAAGCCACATATCATGATAATTTTCTCCCCATGAAATTAAATATTCTTATATATTTTTTACTTAGGCTACAGGTTAATAAAACTAATGTCCTACTCTAAAACTTACTTAGACTGCTTCCGTTAAAAACTAACCCTAGGGGCGCCTGGGTGGCGCAGTCGGTTAAGCGTCCGGCTTCAGCCAGGTCACGATCTCGCGGTCCGTGAGTTCGAGCCCCGCGTCAGGCTCTGGGCTGATGGCTCGGAGCCTGGAGCCTGTTTCCGATTCTGTGTCTCCCTCTCTCTCTGCCCCTCCCCCGTTCATGCTCTGTCTCTCTCTGTCCCAAAAATAAATAAACGTTGAAAAAAAAAATTAAAAAAAAAAACAAAAAACCCTAAACTTAGATGATTGTTCTTGATTGTGTGTACTATATTCTGAACATAGAGGCTTCCTCTGCAAGAGGCAAGGGCATGGAGTATTAGAAGAGACACTTCCCCATGCTTCTAGACATTTGATATATACCCAGGCACCATTTTAAGAAGTTCTCTACCAGTTTTTTCAGTTTCTTCCACAGGTATGATTATTTACATTTCTCTAATGGAAATAGAACACTTCTGCAGATTTTTCTATAAACCATTACCTTTACCACAATCCCCACTTTTTCACATATTAGTAAGTGCTATGGTAAACTCATTAAACAGAATTGTTTTTGGGTTTTTTTTTAGATTTTTTAAATATTTACTTATTTTTGAGAGAGAGGGAGAGACAGTGCAAGCAGGGGAGGGCAGAGGAAGAGAGACAGAGGGAGACACAGAATCCAAAGCAGGCTCCAGGCTCTGAGCTGTCATCACAGAGCCCAACATGGGGCTCGAACCCACAAACCGTGAGATCATGACCTAAGCCAAAGTCGGAGGCTTAACCGACT